CAGCTCCTTTAATTCCACAGCTGACGCTGCCAAAAAGGACAGATTTTATTTTCTTGATCTCGGAGAGCAGGACTTCAATCTCCGATCTCGTAAAGTTTTTTTTACATTGAGATGTCATTCATGAATGGACACGTCCTGGTATGTGGGGCAGGAAACGTATATCCCTATACGGTGTTTTTTGGGTGGTAAATATGTAAATAACCTCTCTGCATGCACGAGCAGCTGGATACAAACAGGTGTATTTCATCATGTTTACGCAGCTCATTTACACACCTTTCCTGAAGATAGAAGAGTTTGTTGAATCTGACGTGGCATGTTCATACGAACCCTTTATACAAACAAAAGGAAGAGAAATTTAGGACAAGAATACGAACATGTTCTTGCATGAGGCCCATTGTGCACACAGTATATGCAGTAATGTTTTTACTCATGCTTTTCTCAGTGAAAGTGGTTTTCATGGGAATAACCTAAAAAAATTTCCCAAATGTTTGAGGAAGTTAATTTAAAGGAACTAAAACAGCCTAAATGTATACATTTTCTGACTGAGTTTTTAGTTTCACCCCCCAGAAATTGATTAATGTTTATTCATCCATGTACCACAACATGTATGCTTTTCTATTAAATGGACAAAAAAGCAAATAAAAAATTCATGAAGTAAAGGCAGGTAAATTGCTTTATTTGTTTTTCAGAAAACAAAAGTAACRATGAGGGTTTCATGTTTTTGTTGATATGGTCGGACCACGCCCTTGTGGTTTCACTCTTTACTTCTCTTTGCAGCAGAGGCCTTGGGCGGCACACAGCAGGCAAATGACAAACATAGAAAACTCTTTGAAGTCAATCTCGCTSTCACCATCTTGGTCCAGAGCTTTCAGCAGCTCATGTCATGTGAATTCTTCCCTGCCTGGAACAGGCAGAATTGTTTCAACAGGAAACAATCAATCATTAAAGATAACTTCACTGAACTTTGAGACACAAAGTCTTGTCTGAACATCTACAAATGAGCAGCTGCAGAAGTAAAAGTCTACGRTAAAAAGTTAGCAACAAAACAAGATGACATCATACAGTATATCCTGATGCATGCTCAATCATTCAGGTAGAAAAATCCAACAAGGTTGAGTCAGGAACTTGGACGAGTTCTTTATTGAGATGTTTCATATTTTATCTAAAATACTTAAGTAGTTCCTTCACATCGTGGATCAACTCAAAACTGGTTGATCCAAAGGTAGGTCTTAYAAGGCTGARCTTACCTTCAACTCCTCAGACTGAAGAAATCTTTTGATAAAAGAGGAAATGTCCAAATTCCTGACTCAGCCTTGTTAGATAACATTGTATAAAATTTTATTTAATGCCACATTTTAAATTTGTTTGGATCTTTTTTTGCCTGGATAAAACACTTCTCCCAGTCAGAGCATCTGTAACAATGTCTTGGCCTCGTTTTTGGTCGGCGTGTTTTCCTCCCCTCATTCAAAAACAAGACCATAGTTGTCTCCAGGGTGGTCGGTTCAGTTCGTTGGACCATTGCTCTGGTGCAGCGGAGAATCAACAGGAGCGGTGGAGGTGAAGAGTAAACGAAGGCAGAGCTGGTTGTTTTTATACCTTGTGAAATATGGGATTRGTGTTGAGGCTGGACCAGATTGGGTAATGATAAGTGTTTACAGTTGGTGGTGGCTCCATCTGAGCCCACTACAGTCCTACTATGCCTAATGTGCATATAGTCTCTTCCACAAGGCAGGTGCAGTCATGTACCTGTTGATTTAGGGCAAGGCTTTTCTATTAACGGAGCAACACAGGGATTTGACCAGGATTTGTTCATTTGGAGCCAAAAGTGTAAAAATTTTGAATATTTTTAAAGTTCAGTTTGAGATGTGAGCAGCTGAGGTTGGTTTATTTGTTCTGCAAAGCGTGATATGAAACAAGTTCACTGTGGTGGTTGGTGGTTACCTGTGCTTCTGCGGAGGGATGGACATGAACCACTTTCAAGCGTGAGAGCTGGTTTGCTTGCATTTTCTCTTTCTTGCGCTTCGTTTCTTGGAACCAGAGTCCTGTTGTTAAAAAATAAGCAGTGTTCGTTACCCTTTACCTGTTCAGATCTAATACCAGTTAATAATGACATGTGAGTGTTTGAGTGAGCCATACAAAACCATTTGGACACAGCTGTGGACTGTTTAGGTTTTTATGTGCCTTCAAACAGGCATCAGCCAAGCAGTGGCCAGAACCCGGAAAACCATCCAGAAAAAAAACCTCTTCACATCCTGACTCCGCCTCATGACATATGCTAAAGGGGCAGTCTACTCCTATATGGAGTCAAGATGTCAGACATCATCCCTCACACTAATGTTTGATCACTGTTCTTATGTGTCGTTTTTAAATCAGACAAGTATCTGACTAAAAGCCTCCTGAGTCTGTCAGACCCTGCTCAAAAGCCCCACACAACCCAGTCTGCAC